TCTGCACGTAATTTGCTCCTTACTCAGTGTGTAGTTGCTTAGGGTTATAAAGCAGATGGCTGGAATTAAACAACTGACTTGAGGCTACGTAGCTTTTGTTTTGCACCTGAAATTTCCTGTGCTGTTCCTGTTTTTTAGGGTTTGGGTGTTTGTTTTGGTGGGGGTTTAACAGCTGTATTTATTTATACTGCTATTCTATCATGGGTATAACATGCAGTCTCAAAACTCACAGCAGGCATGCCATTGTAAGCTCTTTCCTGGGGCACATCACCTTCAAGAAATGGCGAGGAGATCCATTAATTCCAGCACCAAAGAGACTGAAATAATTCCATGAGGATGTATCTCCTGAGAGGAAGATGGCAGAGGCTGAGATGCTCCTGCATGGCTGTGGACTGGGCAGTCAGGGACCGCATGTCCGCAGGCTGCTGATCCCAGTGACAGGCAAAAGCAAGGCACAGCCTGTCAGAAGCCATTCTGTGGCATTTTCAGCCTCTCTCTCTGATGAGGCCCTCATCTTTCCCAGAGAATTACTTCTCTAAGGATCCATTTTCCAGCAATTTTCCTGCCTCCAGCAGCACATGAGCTCCCATGAGCAGCAGTGGAGGCGACCATTGGGGGTCTTCAGCTCTGCCAGGGGAAGGGTACAGGAAGATCATTTGTTACCTCTGCCGATGGTGCTGGGGGAACAGATAGCAATGTGAGTGTTTTTATGATGTGGAAGAAAGGTAGGGTGCAGAAAAGAGCAAAAAAAAATACTTCATCTGGATTTTTTATTTAAGATAGAGTGCCGTCTTGTTGAAGTAAATCATAAGTGCTTCTTCCCAGGGAGGAAATACAGGACAATAAAGGTCTCTCCAAGAAAGAAAGCCTGGGGGAACCAAGGAGTCAAGTCAGCACCTTCCTGCCAGGCTAAGGTGCCTGTATCACCTGAAGGCCTGGGGTTGCCTGCAGCCATCTCCAGCAGGAGGGTGTTCCCCACCCTCCCAGTCATTCCCAGGTGCTCTTTGCAGAGCTGCTTTTCCTCAGGAGCATGGTGGACATCATGCCCATTCTTCCCAGGGCAGCTCTGAAGACTCAGGATTATTTTCCCATGTTTGCTGCTCTTCCTGGCTGAGCTTCCCTTGCTTTGCTAGCGATGGGTCCACCCCATCCTGCAGAAATGGAGCATCCTCAGGAATGGTCTATCATGTTTTGCCTCTGTGTTGGCCTTCCCCAAGGAACAGGGGGGAGCAAGCTCCACCCTGAGGCACTGACTCCTTACAGCTTGTGCAGTGCTCCAGCCCTGTACTGACCCAAACCTCATGTCTCTGAAAATAGCGCTGTGTTGAAGGGTGGACTTTTAGCACTTGTCTTCATTTACACCATTATTAAACAAAAGAACTACTGGGAAATGTTGTCAAAAATTTAGTGTCTTTATGAGCAAAACAGACTCTCTCCTGATCGCTCAGGAAATGAGGGCCCCAACTCTCAGCTGGTATTGTTTTTCCCCAGGAAACTCCCAGTTTAGTCTTTCCTAACCATTATCAAACCTTTCCCACCATTATCAAACCTCACAAGGGCCCTTGTGACTTTGTTGTCTCTCTGCAGAAACCAGTGGCTTTGTAACCCCACCACTGTTTGGTTAAAACATAAATATTTATCCTATGCCCAAGGCAAAGCATTGCTGCAGAGCCACGATCACCAAGTAGGGGGTTTTTTTTTGTGCCAGTGGCTGTGGCCTGTTGGAAAAAAAACCCTCATTGCCACATCCAAATCTGTCCAGCCAGCACAGGCCAAAAAAACCTAATAAAAATCTGAGGTGTAAGGAAGGATTAAAGAGCAGTTTGTCAGCTCTAGGAGCTCCAGAGAGATTGTTCCTCACAGCAATTAGCAGACAAGACATTGATGGTGCTGTGTAACTTTTAAAAAAATTCTTTTTTGTTTCTTTTTTTCTCTCTCGATTCTGCTGCTGTGCTTCTTCTGCACTTCTTTTCACTCTTGGATTTCTCAGCTTCTCTGAGCTGAGCTCCTTGGGGATACTCCCTCATGGGGAGTCCCGCTTATCACAGTCCTCAGGGTCAGGACAAAAACTCCAAAGCTTGTTAGGATCTTGTTTCTTGTGTTTATTAGGATGTTATCACAAAACTTGGCAGGTCTCTCCAGACTATCTGTACAATTCACAATTCAATTCACTGCAATCTGGCTCATTTCTTTCTGATGGTACAAAATGGCCTTGTGGCTCACTTAGGCCTTTGAAGATACAAAATGGCCCCGAACCTCGAACCACGCAGTTCTTTTATCTTTATACTCATTCTTATCTAATTAACAATAGACACGTATATTATTTTTCTTAATGACCCAATGACCCAACACCTGTGTGCTGCACTGCAGCATTTTCTATCCAATCACTTACTATTACCCAAAAACCTCTAGAAGAACATGAAGAAGTAAAAGAAACAACACTAAATCCTCCATCTTGTCTTCTGCTTTCTAAACTATTTTAAACTCTAAACTTTAACTTTTTCACCCAGTGACTTAAGAAATCTTTCTAATCTACACACTCACACTTTTGGCTTTTTCTATCTAGCTTTAACAATTGTTTTCAAGTATCACCATGAAAACATTTTCATCAATTTCATGTTCTATAAAATTCAGTGTTTTTCTGGATCTTAGAGCTAAGCATCAGAAGCAAGGGCACACACTCTGTGTCTCAGACTCCAGCAGTGCTGGTCTGGTTTACAGCATTAGAACTTTGGAGGGGAGAAGTGTCCTGGTGTGGTTGGAGCAGAAGTTTCTGTTTCTGGTCTGACCCCAGAGAGGCAGGTGGAGCACAGGCAGAGGAGAATACACTTGTCAGGTCTGGGTCATAGCAGTTGGTTAAATTATCCTTTTTTTTTTTTACTTTTGGCAGGAATTTTATGCAAGTCACACTGTGTGAAGTATGAGATGGGGGATGATGCACTCCTGGCCATGGATGCATCCCTGGGTTCCTAACCCAAATCCCAGCCTTCACCTGGCATTTTTAACAATATCCAGGTGGCAGGCTCAGGGCTTCACTCAAGCAAATGCATCATGAGAAAAATCAAGTGTGGGAAAGCTTAGATGAAGGCCAGTTAATTAACCTTTGAAGCCTGTGATGTATTGAACAGTAGTTTGTCATTTGTCTTAAACATTATTGCATGGCTGGCTTTTAATACCATTTGGCACCAGTTTTGATTTTTTTCAGAGATGGCTTCACATATGGTTTTACTCCTTTTTTTTTGTTGGTGAGTTAGCTGTGGGCAATCTTTATAGGTGGTATTTCAGAGTTTCTTTAAGTGAAAGAATTTACAGCTGTTAGGTGTATTAACCAAAAATTAAGACATTTCACTGCATTGTACAGTCTGTCGCCTAACAAAAAAAGGGGGATTGGAATATTTTTTCTCCATATTGTATCTGAAAAGAAAGCTCTTTGTAGCCTTAAAAGAAATTCTTACTGACCTTTCTTCCCCTGAGCGTTTTCCAGGTCTCTGGCTGCTGCCCAAACACTCCCCCTCCCGGTGTTACATCCGGTCACAGATCCCTCTCATGCACCCTGTGCCTGCCTGTTCCCTCTTTGAATACTTTTGGCAACCATCCATGCCCTCATCCTGCAGCCCTGGGATCTCATGGTTCCCCTCTGATCCCATTCAGCAATACTGAAACCCATCAGGGAAGCTCCACCAGAAGCTGCAGGACAAGTAGCACATAGCTGCATCTGAAAATAAAGCAGCAATGCCAGCAGCAGAAATCAGCTACTGTGCAAAGTAGAAACTGTTTAGTGTCATGGACTGGCTGAAACATGGAAGTTGTGAAGAGAGCAGGGAAAAGGTGAGTCACCCTTCCTGGGCTGGTGAAGAAGAAAAGATGAATCGTCCTTCCTGGTTTTAATGTTGGTTGTTTGCGTTTTTTTCCCCCAGTTTGCTGCTTTCCTGCTCTCTGGAGGTGGATGGAAAACTTCTTGATGAGAATTAAAAAATAAATCTGTGCTGGGTTCATACTCAGGAAGCTCATTTAAAAATCAGTTCCACAGAAAAGTTAATAAATCAGTGAGGAGTAAGCTATGTCCTTTCATAAACAGTGTGAAAGAGCAATGAAGTATCTTGGTGTCCTCGAAAAAACAGCAAGACATGGTGGTAACTCCCACTGCAGTGATCCCTGCAAAACAGAGATGTGATGGGAGGCCCAGGGGCTGGAGTTGCTAATGGGATGGGCAGGGAGGCTGCTGTGACAGCTCCAAGCAAGGGTAGATAATTACCTGTACGGCTCATCTCAGTGGAGGGGTGGCTGAGGAGATTAATGCACAATTATGGATTCTGCTGATGTCACTATAAAGGTTAATGCACACCAGAGTGCATCCACAAAAGTTTCTAAAAAGGGATCTTGAGCAACCAGAGTGGGCTCTAGGACAAATAACCTGAAGGATGCTTCAAATTGTAAGGAACCTGAAACAAAGTTCAAAGGATTTTTCTTTTTACCTGCTATTCAGAGAGAAGCTGTACTATTTCTGTAAATCAGTGCCGAGACTGTGACATCGATCACATGCCCAGGAAGATGGAAACTAAGTTTGAGGGTTCTCTCCTGGCTGAAATCAATAAGGAGAGGTGTTTTAGGTCTTAATATCTCCATGTGGCAGGAGCATTCCTGCAGAATTGCCAGGACTTAGGTAACAAACTTCCCTCCCTCGAGCTGCCTGCTTCCTGCAGACTGCCATGCTGCTCCCTTTGAGCCAGGCAGGAGTTCTGACACCAAAACATTTAAGTGCTGTTGGGTGAGTGTCCTGCAAGCCTTTGATTAGAGCAGTGCAGTGCTCATTAGACTGACTTGTTTTAGCAGCTGTCCGAAACAGGAGAAAAGAGAAATCATTAGAAGTATTAGAAGTACTCTGTGTTGTTATTTCAAATATTATAACCCATCATTGTTTTGGCAGTCTCTGAACAATGGCATAAAATGGGCTGAGTAATGTGACCCAGTGTCCAGAAAAGCCTTATCCCAGAAAACAAGGATGGTAAATCACATGATGCCCCATGAGATGGGGTGTTTTGCCAAATTACTGCTTCAGGGGAAGTGAGAACAATTTCAGTAACTGGAATGTTGCTTCATCAGGATTCCCATTGCCCTTTCTTCCCCACCTCCTACTTTGCTGTTTTAATTTTTAATTGGTGATGTCTACCAAAGTCTGGCAGTTACCTCTATTTGCTGCCAGAGGAGCCTATTTTTTATCTTTTTTTAAGAGCTTAAAAAACACCCAGGAAAATGGGAAGGCTTCAGAGCCTCTTTTAACTACCAGCAGACAATCCTTTAGAGTCAAATGCAGACATCACCACAACAGCCTTTCAGTCTCTGTTGAATTTACCTTAATGCACTGTTCTCTGTTTTGCACCATGTGAAACACAAGACCAAAACACCAGCAAACTCAACAAGGACAATTTTTTTTGGGATGGCAATGCAGCACAGAACCTTTCCTGTTGTGCCTCTAGAACACCAAAATGGCCAACAGGTGTGTTGGAGCCTTGTGTGCTAGAGGCAAAAAATGACCACCTGCAACAAGCTGGAGATAGATCAGCCAGCTTATGTCACCTGCAAAGATTTGAGGATGTGACTTTGTCCTCCTCACCATGCACACAAGTCATGTAATTAATTGTATGATTCAGTGCTGTTTAAATACACTTATAACTGTGGTTGCTTGGGCCACATTGATGCTGCAGGACTGTTTTATAGCCCGTAGTAGTTCTACAGTAATGCAGCTGAAACAGTTGGGAAGGATTATTTTATTGGGACTTTCCTATAAATGTCTGATTCTGTTTCTTTGTGACTTTGAGCTCTCTATTCCAGCTGCTGCCTTCTACCAAGTGTGGCTAATAACAGCACCAGTAACAGCCGGGCAATTAATTCTTTAACAACTGTAAAATGCTCTGCTATGAACAGAAGAGGATTTTGCCATGTATTTCTCCATGATTTTTCTAGGCTGAGTATACCATTCCTTGAAAGTAGCTGATTTCTGAATAGAAAGAGAAATGGAAAACAGAAATAAAAACGTTGAATCCTATCCCTCCCACATTCATTTAGTAATGAAGCAGGGACTATGAAGTATTTTAATTTTAGCTCTGGCTAACAGAATCTTGGCACACATTTTATAGGTCTTTCCAAAGGTAGGTTGAGCAGGATTGGACGAAGACCATCACCGCCACATGGGACCTGGTCCTGCCGAGAGCTGCCAGGTTTTCATTTGCCCTGGACACAGCTGAGTGTGGAGACATCTTTGGTCACCAGCCTGCCTGTGCCCAAAGGTGCCCACGGTTAACAACCAATGCATGTGGAGTGGTCTCATGCAGTTTCAAAAGTCTGAGAGACAGGGTTTTGTCTTGGCTGTTCAGACCACCATGAGGATATTTAGAGGTTGACTGGCTATAGAGACATATTTCCAAGCAGCTTGAAGTCAGGTCTTATTTCTTTATATTTAAACATAATCCAAGGAAAATGATGGACCATTTTCATGAAATAATTATTTGATAAAAATGATGAATGGAGAAAGAAAGAACCATTTCAAGAAAAGCATAAATTAATATACATACATCCTCAAACTGCACTACACCATCAAATCCCAGCTTGCTTCCATGGCTTGAAGATTATTATACCTGTACATGCCACACTAAAACCAATTAGTTGCTTGTCCATTTGAACTCCCGAGCTTACGCTGCTCCCGATCAGCCATTCCTTTCAGTGCCTTCCTGCATTCCCAGCCAATGAACATGTGATTCATGCTGAGACAGAAGCAGCAAGGGGCACATCCAAGCTCCCCCCATGTGGGGATCATCCCATCTGGATAGGTGCATCTGGGCTGGGAGCTGAAGCACGAAGAAAACTTCTGTCCCTTGCACACATCTCTGTTATAATTCGTAAGTGTTAAAAAACATCCTTGCTGAACCTCTGGACTCACACGAGCGGTGGATGAGTGGAACACAGTGACAGTGGGACAAGCTGCAGAGATGAGAGTCCAAGAGATGCAGCCAAAACTGCTCCACAACAGGAGTGTTGCTCAGAGATCCTCCTGGTGGATTTTGGCAGCGAGGAGCTGGGTGTTTCACAGTGTGTGCCAGCTTCAGCTCTGCTCCTTGTAGGGGATGCCTGGAGGCTGGAATCCTCCATGACAAATCTGCTGGCAGCCGTGAGTGGGAAGGGTCCATTGAGGTTCAGGTTTGCTCTGGAGCTCACCTCCTCTCTGCCAGCCCCGTGATGGGCTGCTCCTGGGATAAGGAGCTCTGCTCTGAGCCCCGCAGCAGCATTCCCAGGATGGCCAGGACTTCTTGCAGGCCCTGGCCACTGTGGGCACTGCAGCCCCGGAGCATCCAGCGGTGCTTTGCCAACCCCCCCAGCCGCAGCATCTCCCCCAGCTTGGCAGGAGCCAGCGCTCCTGGCACGTCCTGCTTGTTGGCCAGGAGCAGCACAGGGATGCCAGCCATGCCGGGGTGGCTCAGGGCCTCCTCCAGTGCTGCCATTGCTTTGGCCAGCTGGGACATGTCCGTGCTGTCAAACACGAAGATGAGGGTGTTGATGTCCTCCAGGTAGTTGGGCCAGCTGGCCCGCAGGCTGTCTTGTCCGCCAACATCCCAGAGGGTGAAAGATATGCCACAGGGTGTTTGCAGAGATTCCACGTTGAATCCCACCGTGGGGCAGGTCTCCACAGCCTGGCCGCTCTTCAGTTTGTATAGAAGGGTGGATTTGCCGGCAAAGTCGAGCCCCAGCATGATAACTCGAGCATCTCTTTTCCGCCAGCCTTTGGAGATCAGCTTCCCCATCAAGATACTGCCGCAGCTGGGGGTGGGGAGGGAGGGGAAAAGCAGCCAAAAAAAAATAGCAAGCAAGCGTATTTCCTCGATGATGTCAGAAATGAACAGAGTGCTCAGTCCTGCCTCTCCGAAAGAGCGCCTTAGGTTTGCTGAAGAAACGCGGGCAGCCGGCTTTTGCTTCTCTCTGTAGCTCAAGTGAGGTGAGAGCGATTATTGATGAGGTGTGGAGCAGAGTCAGGGAGTGATGTTCAACACAGCAGTTTCTACACCCCAGCTCCGCTGCTGCTCACTTGTTTTCATTCAGGACCCGAAGTGATTGGTGCGAAAGAGAGCTAACATTTTGCAGGAAGAGGTGGAGAGACTGTGGAGCAAGTTTCCTCCTCACCACATAAATAAATAAATGAGCTTCTGTTCATTGGCTTGTCTGGGAGAAAACCACCCCCGCCTGGACAGGACAAGGAGGAACCCGGGTTTCAGATCAGGGTTACGCTGAGAATTTGCTGAATCACAGCTCAAGGGTGGGGATTGAAAGCCTCTTGAGCAACAAGACAACGATTTTTCTGCCATTCTTACATTAAAAAGTAGAAAACAAATCACTCTTTCATCAGCTTTTACTACCTTTTGTGCAAATGATAACAACAGCAATTTTAAAAAATGCACACAAGCATGCTTTTTTAATGTCTCACTGAAACACAATCAGTCAAAATGCCATTCCTGAGGCAAAAATCCATAAAATTCTTTACATCAAAATATTTACAACATTTGAACTTTTTTAAGTGAAGCAAAGTCAGTCCTCTGTGGCTGAGGAGGTACAAAAATCCCCTAAAAGAACAGAAAACTGTTTAACAAGACAGCATCCCTTGCACTTTACATGCCAGAGGCAAAAATGTGCTGCTGTGACAACTCCCAGACTCGCTTGTGCAAGAGCGGCTGATGACAGCCAGCAGAGTCCCAGCAAAGCCGGTATTTATCTCCCCTCTTTATTGGTTGGGTTTTGCTCCTAAGAGGCTGCTCAGAGGTGTGCAGAGCTCACCTCACAGCAGTAAGGCAGAGCTGCTCTCTAGCCACCTTTATCTGAGACAGAAATGGGATTTACTCCTGCTTCCCTGGGGCCACAGGGGAATTTTTAATGCATCTGTGGGACATGCGGTTTCCCCAGCAATCCCCACATGACAGCTGCACGTCACAAGCATTGCTGGGGATGACGTTCAGCACAGCATGTGGAAGGGACTCTCTGGTCAGTTGGTCACTGAGAGGCATATTTCTTCCTCTGGGGACAAGATACTTCAGTTTTCCATCTTTTAACAGAAAGGAAGATGCATGAGAAATAAAGTAACACAAGGAGTTCCGCTCACTTAGGCTGCATGGGATTGCAAAGGGTCCAAAATGTTTTGCAAGATACCTCGGTGATAAATGTCTCTCCCATTGTTAACCCACAGAGCTGGCTGGCACCGAGAGCCTCCACAAGATTTATGCAGCTTGTGGATGTGTGAGATGGGTTTTAACAATCGTGCAATACCAAGTTGGAAAGACCTCGAGGATATCTGGTCCAACCAACCTTTCAAGGCAAAAGCATGGTCTAAAAGAAGCTCAGCACCCTCTGCAGCCAAATCTTAAGTGTCCCCCAGTGCTGGCAAACACACTGCTCCCCTGGGGAGATTATTCCAATAGCAGATTGTTCTTGTTGTGAAAAGTTATCCCCTTGTGCACAATCAGAATTTCCCAAGGAGTAAATTGTACCTATTGCTGCTCATTTTTTCCATAGACTCCTTGTAAAAAGGGATCCTCCATCTTCTTTGTAACCACCCTTTAAATACTGAAACACAGTGATAAGGACTTGCATACGCCTTTTTTTCTCAAGATTCAACAATAAAATTGTGCAGCATATGTTCACATGTGATCTTTTCTAAAACCAGTCTGTAAGTGCAAAATTGGCAGAAAGCTCTCTGGATGTGGATAAAAAATAAAAGAGAATTGTAATATGCAGTGGATTCTGCCCCTTCAGGGCACTGCTTTCACACCCTGATGTGTGTGCTGCTGCCTGAGGGTTATCCTTTTGTCCATATTCTTAACTTTTTAAAATAAATCCTTGATCTGCTTGTTCACCATTTTGGAATAACCTTCCTTCCCATATTTCACTGTCCTTTGAGATCAGTATAGCTGGTATTTTTAGACATAACTATGGGTCAAGTGAATTGTGTCTTGATCTTTTCTTGTTTCTCCTGCCTTTGCTGCTGCTCATCTTCCCTGAGACTTGGCAGGTAGCTGTGACACACATCTGTTTAATCTGACCAGGCATTCACAGCACTGTAATTTCTTTCAAGTAAATTAAAATATAGGTACAGGAAGCAAGGGTGGAGACTCTACCATTCAGTGAATAATTGAGCATTTGAAATACGATGTGATGGAGTCTTTGATTGCATCACTCCCTCACATGCTACAGAAGAAGGCTGCTCCTAAAAAAAAAAAGAAGAAAGGGAAAGGGAAAAAGGAAGAAATAAAGCCAGAATAAAGGATGCAACTAAGCACAGTTCTACTGATGATTCCCTTCAGGTTTTCTATGGCACAGAACACAGTAATCCATGGGCAAACAGAGGAAACTCTATGTTCTTTTTCTTTTTTTACATGTTTATGCCCTATGTATTGAACTGCAACCCATTTTCTTTCTTCCTGACAATTATTCCAAATACAAGGTTCAAATTGTGCCTATAGAGCCTGTTCCACCCACAGCTATTTTACAGAAGCATAGTATTTCCAATAAATAATACATAGGAGCAATTACAAGTCTGTTTAAGATAGAATGAAAGAAAAGAAAGTAAAAGCAGACAAGATTAGTTCTGAGTGCATCTATTGCTGGAACAGAAAGGCCAGGTACTAAATAATTCAGACATTGTGTTCAGAGACAAGGACAGCTCGTATTCAAGCTGTGTATTCTGTGGATAGAATAAATGTTCTTGTCTTGTATTTCATGTCCCCAAATTCTCAGGAGCAATTCTTGTTCCATTTATAGTTTCACAGAATTTCAGTCAATTTATTTGTTCGCTGTTTTTCAGGCATGCGTTTCTCTGCTTCCTAGATATTCATCCCAAAATAAGCAGTAATCAGTACTAGTAATATAGGAGAGAATCCCCCCTCCTTCCCAAGCCCCAAATATTCCAATTACAGAGATTTTGTCCTGATCCTTATATTAACTCACATTTGTTCCAACCTGTGGCACCTCTTTGGAAGGCAGCTCCAGGGAGACAACCCTTCACAGAGCCAGGAATAACAGGTGTAGTTCTGGTTCTTACTGTGAGTGTTCATCCAAATGGCATCTGCTTGGAACAACAAGTACATCTCAGTCCAGCCAGTGTGCGTCCCCATCCAGATGTGCATGTGTCCCTGAGAAAAGCCACCAAAGCCACCATGCACCCAACCCTGCCTGTGTTTTCTGCAGGATCTCTTCATTGTATCATATGTGGAAGGCATGGAGGGCATGTTCAGACCAGCAGCTGGTGAGAAAGCCCGCTGGGCACAGGCAGGTGTCTCGACCTGGAGAGTCCACCTGTGACCTGACAGTCACCTTGAAGGGGACTTCTCTCTGTTTGGCCTGTGAGAGTTCCTTGTGGACCTGCTGGGATCACTGGATTTGACCTAGCCAGGGCCCCAGGCTAAAACCACAGCAAAGCCAAATGTGATGGTTCAGGCTTAGAGAAATTTGGCCTTTTTCTTTTCTGCATCCTGCTCCATTCCTCTTGTTCTGCCCCCGATTTCTGGCATGCCCACAGGAAACTCACTCCTGCTAACAGACTCATGCCAGTTCACCGGGCATGTGCCCAGGAAGCTGCCAGTTCCATCAGGGTCAGTGGGTAGCTGTGAGAGCTGGCAGCTGAAGGCAAGCTGCTTCTTCCCCAAGACTTGAATTCCCAGAGGCTTGAAACATGGCTTAGCATAGTCTGGAAGTTACACAAGGCAGCCACAGGCTAGGACATGCCCTAGAAAAGCCTGCCTGCAGTGATGTCTCTTGACAAGATATGATCGCCTGAAGTTGTACCAACACCCTAAAGTTCAGAATGGCAGGACTCACGCAACAAAAGACACATCAGATGTTAAGCACTTGTTCTTCAGGTGCCCAACAAGCATTCTGAGAGGTGTTGGTACCTCCAGGGCATTCCTGGTGGGATTTGAAACAGGACATCGTTCTCACGCCCAGCTCATCCTGAGGTCCCTGTTTTCCCCTCATTTCCTGGGACAAACATTTTGTGAAGGAACATGGGTTTTGGTAGCATAACTGGTAGCAGATAGAGCTTTCCAAAGTTAACTCTTTCCAGTAGGGAATGACTCTAGCTGGAAAGCACAAAAACTCACAAAAATGTCTCAGTTTCCAAGAGAGGAAGCTTGGTC